CCCTAATAAGTCATTAAATCACGGGTGCAGAAAGGTTTCATGTGTGCGAAATGTTAGGCTAAAGTTCCGAGCCCGTGAACCGAGTGCATGAATGGGTTGGCCAGGACGTTTGCCTTTAATACGATTCCGCCGCACTATAAATCTGGCCGACTTGAATATAAAGTGGTGGGTTGTTACATCTAATCTCGTCGAAAATGATCCGCGGGCTTCTGCGGGCAGATGCTGCATCGCTTCATTTGCCGAAGCGTTATTCATCATTTATGAGGTGATGTGTTTTTATTTATTTATTTATTTATTTTTATGTGCGAGACTCTTTGCTGAGGCGGCTCGAAACAAAAGGCGCACGCATAAACCTGAGAAAACGAAAGTGCACAGTCATCTGTATTTTTTTGGGGGGGGGGCGGCGGGGGGCGCCGCACGGTTTGCTAACGATGTCTGTCGATAATGAGGAGGATTAGTGTTGCAAGACTTTTAATATGTTTCTCCCGAATGCTGAATAAGGCTCTTTTGCCCTCCACTGCTGTGCGCTAGAAAGTTCATAGAAATGACGCGACGTTTTTTTTTTTTCTTCCTTCCGATAAAAACAAGGTGCGCGTGAGGGGCGGTTCACGGTTTACTATCGAAACTTTTTTGAATTCATCCTCTTTCTACCTAACTGGGACTCCTCACTGTGCTTCGATCAGAACTCAGAAACGAATCGATCAATCAGGAATTGCATGTTCGATTTTTATTTTTTTTTTTTAACTGCCCACACCTGCAGAGACCTCCCACTTGGACAAGAAGGCTCAGGATTTCGGGACTGCCGTTCGGCATCCCAAACGCGACGGAACTGGACTCATCTAACCGGAAGCATCGGTTGCGGTATCGGACGATGAATTCTCAAGTATCGGGACGTAGCATATTATCTGTAACGTCGGTGGGCCAAATGTCTGCTTCTTTGTGCTCAATGTGGAAGCAACTGTGCTTCCTGAAAGTTAAGATTCCAAAGCTGGCTGGACCCTCTGTTTTCCCCCCCACAGCAGGTGGGGGGATCAGTGGGCTTAGCAAGTGGCTGGAGACAAAGAGTAATGCTGCATACACATACACACGCACAAGCGCCACACAAGGACATACGATTGACACAGTCCATAACAATTTGATACCTAACCCCAACGATAAACCGCATACCGTTTTAACGCAAGGCCGCTGTCGCTACAGCAGAGGTTTCTCAAGCTTTTGACCACCACAAAAATTTGCACCGCCCCCAAAATGTATGTTTGATATGAGTTAAACATTATTAAACCCATTCAATGTTTGCCAAATTGCCATTTTTCCGTTCTTTAGTTATCGGCCGTCGAACGTGGGTTGGTTTTGCCAAAAGCACCGGTTTCTGAGCAAAAAGCGGAGAAAACAAGATTTCGCGCTTTTCACGAAAGGAAAGATATCAAGTAGAAGTCAAACTCATCAAACTAAAAAAAAATAACTGTGAAAGGCCGTCAATATTCTACAGAATATACAACTAAGAATTGCACCATGATCTTTTCCCACACTTTCAACTAAAAATATATTTCCCCAAACAAGCAGCTTTTAAAGCTGAAATATTTTGAACTGAAAAGCAGAATACGGCCAAACTCGTACAAAACTGAGAGTCACGATGTCTTTTTTCGTCTCAAATTTGGTTCACCGCAGAACCTTCGGCTGTTTGGGTACGTGACTTTTTTGGAGCCCAGACGACAGTAAACAAGTCAGTATAAAACATAACATTTGCTTGGCGAGCCAGGAGCTGCTCAGCCTTGCCAGTTCGGCCCACAATCAGTTTCGGAGTTTATCTCCAGGAAACTCGGTTTGACACTTCTAACTCTCAGGTTTCACCTTCCCTCTTCCTTCCTGGTTCTATAGTGCCATTTCCTCACTGAGATCGGGCGACTTCCACCACAGCTGGACTCGCCGCCGAGGAGTGAGTCAAAACAGCTGAGAAATGGCACCAAAACGTGTGAAACCAATTGCAACGAGCGCACTCACTTTTGGAGCGAATCCCAGATTTTCCGAGTCTTTAAATCAAATCCATCAATTTGTCCTGTCTGGGCGAGCGACATAATAGCATTGTGGAAATATATGAACGCATACTGGGACAATGGCTATAGCAGAGCAAAAAAAAATTTTAAAAAATGCCGCATTTGTCAGACCGGACCTCATGAAAAGAGCAGCGGAGTGAACTTTTTGCACTTTAGCGGTAGGCGCGCGAATGCCGCGGCTCGTCTGATATCACGTAAACATTGAGTCGACTCCAGTTAAAGCGAGTACCGTGATCTCACCGGGGGTGAAATTAAGCGAGTGTGCGAGCCTCAAGTCAAAATAAACAGCTGAGAACTTCTCCATGGTGAGTGTTTAAAAAAAAAACAATGTCAGAATCAAAGAGAAGACTCACCATTTGGGTCTGACTCCGGGGGCTGCCATTGATATCCTCCACCTTCTCATTGGCTGCAGGAGAGAGAGAGAGGACAACGAAGAGATGTTTACTATCCGTCCACGGCGTCCACTCCAGTGAGCTCAGGTGCAAGTCGGCACGGAGCCCTCCGAGATGAGGTGCGTGCATGCGTGTGTGCACCGCGCGTGGGAGGTTTCGGAGGGCGTGCGTGCGTGCGTGTGTGTGCGCGCACGAGGCGTCTAGGAAGCAAAGCTGGCTAATTCTTCAGCTGCTGCCAGAGAATTACTGACAGGCCAGAGCGTGGCCTCATTGTCTGTTTCGGGGCAAGCGGGGAGGGTAAAGTTTCAATCCGACGGAGAGGGAGAGAAAAAGAGAAGAACGTGTGTGTGTGTGTGTGTGTGTGTGTGTGTGTGTGCGTGCGTGTGAGACATGGTTCAAGGACGTACAAATGACAGATTTGGGAGGATGGACAGCATCAGTGAGAGGTAATGGAGAAGAAATAGCCTTCCGCGAGGAGACAAAAAGGAGATGCGGCAGTAGGGACACAAACAAAAGTTAGGAAGTTTTTTTTTTTTTTTCGTTAATACCTCAAAAAAAAGAGAGGGAGAGAGAGAGCGCACTGGACCATATGTGCCTTTTTTATTTTTCCTAAATGACGAATGAGGATTTTATTCATTTTTAGATATCGGGTACTCGCGGAGGCTGCTGATGACAGCCATCGATACCAAAGGCAAATAATACCCGCCATCGAGCAAGTAGGCCTTTGCAGGAGTTTGACACATCGCAGAATCATCATCCGTATGAGAAAAAAAAAAGGTTGTGTTCATAATGCTTTGTCATTGTGTTCAATGTAATGTTAGACTCGAGGTGTCGGTGCTCAAAGAATAGTCGTGCTAGTAATCAGTCTGAAAAAGAGTGGTCTTGAACCTCCCTAATTCGAACGATTCTCAGCACTGGCGATCATGAAAGCTGCCAGCAGATGGTCCAAAGCGCCGACGTCTCGTCCATGTCAATTTAAAGCCGATTGATCAACTTCAAAGCGTCCCAAACGGCCGGGCTTGATCTCGCAGCGCGCAACTTCACAAGCGTCACTTAGCACACAATTCGCTAAGATCAGAAGATACATACGAGATACAACATGGTCTTTTATCATTCGGTGACTCTTTAGGCCTTTGTAAAAATGTTGCTCTTGGAAGCTAGCTGTCACTTTGCGAGCTAGCTTACAAGAGCAACATTGTAAGCTAGCTCTCACTTTGCAAGCTAGCTTGCTATAACGTCGTCTTTTATTATTCGGTGACTCTTTAGGCCTTTGTAAAAATTTGGCCTTGTAAGCTAGTTCTCACTTTGCGACCTATCTTACAAGAGCAACATTGTAAGCTAGCTGCCACTTTGCAAGCTAGCTTAAAGGAGCAACATTGTAAAGTAGCTCTGTCTTTGCGAGCTAGCTTACAACGCGTTGCAGGTGATAGCAAGTTGACGACAAAGACCAAAAGCGCTCCTGCGCATTACCTGGCATTCAATGTCATCCAAATGGTAATCGATTCGTCAAAATAGAAGCCGACATATTGTTGGCGCGGATACATGCGGAAGTGCGTGTACCTATTATTTGGATGATCTGCGCCAGCAAGACTCCATCGGTGACGTCCTGGCTCAGGTCCTTGATGAGCCGCTGACAGCCCGACTTAGCCAGGTAGTGATTGGCCCAGTCTGTGTAAATCTGTCAACAAAGAACATCGCCACACAAATTAACGGAGATCTGCGCACCACTATTTGATCAAAACTGTGTTTTACATTTGAATAAAAACGCCATGCCGAGTTGTCACGGCAAGGCTGTTTGTGCATCTTGTAAAAAGCCCCCAAAGTGAGTCGTTACGAGCCAACCGCAATGACTCAACTGTTGCTCTTTTCATCTCAATTACTGCCCCGATAAAGAACAGTGACCATTTAGTCATTTGCTATTAATGTTTTACGGCGTGGCACAACTTCCTACTTTCACTTTCCAGTCCAACTCGGAACGTTTCGATCTGCTTTATTTTATTTCACTGGCTGTTAAATACGATGTCCGTTCCATTTATTGACAGGAAAACCAAACACACACACACACACACACACACACAACCACTTTTACACGGGAAATCCAAACTAAGTGACGCTAAACAGGCTATGATTTCAGCTTTGATGCAAATCATGCGTTTCTATTGACACCGCCCATGGCGCGGGTGTAGAAATCGAGACTGCAATTGACTAAAAAAAAAAAATGGCAGTGGATGGCAACGCACGTAAGGGTCCATTGTAGTGGTTGATGCACAACTGTGACGTTAAGATAAATTAATCGATCCATCCATATTCTGATCCGCTATTCAATCAGCCTGCCATGCATGTTTTTTGCAATGTGGGAGGAAACCGGACTGCCCGGAGAAAACCCACGCAGGCACGGGGGCAGAACATGCAAACTCCACACAGGAAGGCCGGAGCCGGAATCGAACCCCGCAGCCCCCCACTGTGACGTCTACGTGTTAACCACTCGACCCACTGTGCCGCCAGATGAATTCATATAAGAGAAAACATTTGAATAGCCGTCCACTCTCGTGACCGCTGTCCCCGAAAGGGTTAAAATCGAGCTTATCAACGGAGTTTTAAAGGAGCTTTGCATTATAGGAGCCATTGTATTGTCAGCCGGGCCTCTTTTCACTGGAGTCCATGAAGTGACAGATAAGAGACACTTTGTCGGCCCGACGACAGACTGAAGTCAACAGCTGCTGCCGTTCCGCTGGACTTTGGCGATACACGAGCGTGCCGCCGCCCCAATCTCGAAGCGGATGCATAAAAGGGGGCTGCAAAGCGACGATGTGACAATGGGCATGATTCGACGCTTGGTTACAGATGCGTTATGCAAGTAAAAAGGACGCTAAAAAGAACACTTTGCAAATGCCAAAATCCCATCGGGAGGCCATGTGAGAAAGAACCGTACAATGAATGCATTATAAAGTTGATCCATATCATAAGGGACACCTCCACATATCAGAGTCACTCCAAAAAGATGTACAGATTTGCAATGTCTCGATCTTGTTGTGGCTGCAATGGCCGCTGGATCGATTTTAGGAGGGGCGGGGGGGCATCTAGAGATCCAAATCAAGACAAATCTGAAGGGTTACATCCCGCGTATATCCAACCTGGAGGGGTTTGTTTTGTTTGACGCTGCTTAGCGGCTGCATTTGAGTGTGAATGGCGCAAAAGATATTGATTTTCTGTCTGAACCGCTCAGTTGACTGAACAGGGAAAAAAAAAGTTGGACTCGGACTAACAATTCAACTTTGTGAGTGGGTGTAAAGTACAAAGTAAGCGGTTTTACAACCGGCAGTGAAAGTTTGTGTATTGCATTGTCAGTTTCATGTTGCCGGAAGGAAACAAAACATTTTTTTTTTCTTGTATTGACACAATAACATGCATGTTAGGATTCACGGAAGACAAAAAAAAAACAACAAAAAAAAGATACATAGGGGTGAATAGTTAGTTTTTTCGATAAGGGGCCCTGTGATTGGCTGGCAAACAGTCCAGATTGCCCATCAGCCCTCGCCCCATTTTCAGCTGGGGTGAGGGTCGGTCGGGGTTTGGGTTCTTGTTCGGCACTCTAGAAAATGGATGAATGGCAATAAAAAGTGATCAATGCAACATCTTGATACTGCAACGCTTACAGTATTGAAGGAAATACATTACAAGTCAGTTAGAAAGAGTCAAGTTCTCATCTATCAATCTCTCGCTGAAAAGACCCTTTCCTCAACCCCAGCGGGATGCTCGCCAAAGTATTATTTATCGTACCATTTGAAGTATCGCAGCGATGCGTTCAAGTTAAGCGGAGACCTTTGCGAGCGGTCGGCGTCGCCTCCCCGTCCCTCATCCCTCCCAGCTGTGTGACAAGCATCAGACGGGCGCCCCGCCTCGCCCGCCACCGCGTTCGATTCATGACTCCTCGGTGACACCGTTGGAAGAGTTCATCCTGCTTGGCTCCTCTTTCCCCTCTCCGTCCCCCCCGGCCCCCGTCCATGAACCCGACAACCGCCTCCTTCCAAGATGCGACATCAAATAACGCGCACGCGAGCATTAAACGCACACATTGCTGACGTCAAGTCCTCCTCCTTCTGCCTTTCGTTTTACCTTCTCCGTTGTTGAGTTCCCCGCCAGCGTGCGACATCCAGAGCGGTTCTTTTCCTCCTGAGGAGGTAACCTGCCTCCCGGCAGTCGTAATCACAATGCGGTGACTACATCGGCGCAGGTATTATTGACAGACGCTGCAATGTCACTCTGCAACCTCTAGAGGGCACCGGAGGAGAGGACCCGCATCCCCATCACTGTTCTTGAACGCATCAATCCAGCCTCGGTGAATGAATGGGGCTCTTTAATCATGGCGCCGATCCAAGCCCATCGAATAAATTAGGTTTAACAGCAGTCAAGGGGGAGGGGGGGGGGGTGGGGGGGAATCCAGCACGTATGTACAATCGCAGGGCGTTTAGCGGTGTATGGCTGTCCGAAACGGGCTAAGTGTCCTCCCATGGCTGCGGTGGCGGCTTTGAAAACTTGGCACGGGTTCAGCTCTCATGTGGGTCTTCAAGGTGATTAAATGCGACATAAAGCTGCATTCACAGAATTAGTGATGAGGAGCCCATCGAGCACTGTGGATAGAAATGCACGCGACAGGATGGATACATCGCTGTAAATAGTTTAAGGCAAGGGAAAAAAAAAAAAGATCTTTATGAATGGGCAAAAGCTACATTACTCTGGGTTCTTCCATAAAGAAGTTTATTCTATTAGACAAGGCTATGGTCTGAGTATAAGAAGCTCCTACCTTCATTTAAATATAGGCCCTTATTATTTTTATATTAGAAATGAAGTGAGCGCCAAAAAAGTGCATCGGTGCATCAGCCGAAAAGTCAATGCAGCTCTGCTTATAAATCGGCGTAGGCATGATGCGAGGGGTTGCACCCGAGGGTTCTGCGAGTATTTAAAACCTGAAAAGGGTGACACCGGAGAAAACCAATCAGGACAACGTGGACTTTGTTGTTGTGCCGGCTGTCAATCAGGGCAAACGGCGCCGCCGTATTCAGTCGGGGATTGTCCAGCTGTATTTACAAAGCCGATAAGTCAGCTCGACACACGGCGATAAAACACAAATTCAACCCAACAGCGGGCAGAGTAAATATTGTTGGTCAGGCTGATGCATGAGGGAGATATTTTTTTTGTGTGCCTTTTTCAAGAGGCAGTTAACAACATTACAACCATATAATGAATGAAATTACTGTCAAAACCATATCGTCGCTTTCAAGTTAACCCCCCCGCCCCCCCCGTCACTTTTAAAGAGTGAAAAATCGACTCAAATGACGCCGCCAAGACGTTTAGTCATCATTTTGTCATCTGCCAAGCCGCTTTTGTCGCTGCAGCAGAAATGCTGAGTCGAAAGTGACATAATTGCATGCGGCTACGAGATGTTTTTGGACGCGGAACGCACCGTTGGATGCGCTCGGCGTCGACGTTGAGCGCTTGTAAGCGCGAAGGGCCGGAAAGAAGCGGCGAGATTGAGGATGCGGTGTCAGCGTGAAACTGGGAAAATGTCCATCCAATTTCTCTTCCAGAAGACGTTGGATTTTATGATTTTTTTTTTGTCCAATCAGATTTCAGCCTCCACGTGTTGCCATATTCATATCATCGAAAAAGGGTCTTCGGAATCAGCCGTGCTCGCTCGATAAAATTCAAACGATATCGGCAACGGGGCGATCAGATTTCAAATTCCACCTCATCTGACTCGAGGGCGGACCCTCGATGATGTCAGCATTTTTCGGTCCTCTGATTGGTCGGTCAGTTCCGGCCAACTTGGACTATCTTGCACACATGAATCCGACAGGCATTGTCCCACATATTATGTCACTCTGCTGAAAACTGAACAGCAAAGGCGCACTTTTGAATTGTCATGGCGAGATATACATGAATGGAAAGCAGACGCAGAATTATGAGATTCGTCTTTAGGATTTTACGGACTGTCAATAAGCTTGAAGCACGCACGCTGGGCCTCTTATTTTGAAGGACTGTTCAGCGGGAATGAAAACAAGTGCTAGGGGATCATTTCAAAAGTGTGTTTGAATGTGTTGGAGCAAACTATTTAAAAAAAAAAATAACTGGACATCAGTGCGGAATGCATCCACCGCGATAATTGGGGGTTAACTGCTCACCCTTAGTTTCACCGGCACAATTTACAGGCGCCGGAGAATAAATATGCTCCAACGTCAGGGAGGGAGAATCGTGTGTTTTCTTGCTTTTTACCCCTCAAGATGCTCATGAGCGTAGCAACAAATGTCCCGGGGCATCGTCTATTCTCGGATGACTTGCAACTCTTTGTAATCATTCTTTCTTCAGAAGAACCCCCCCCCAGCCCCCACACACACACTCACGAAGAAAAACACAAATAAATCAGGCAGCTACCATGTCATGAGCACCCAGCCGCGGTGACAAAACTCCAGCGAACAGATGTGAGCTCGCACTTGAATTGGGATCATCAAAAAAACAACCACAGTGACGTGCGTGTCACATTGTCGAGCTGACTCAAATGCAAATTGCGAGGGAGGGATCTGTGTGAGTCACGGCTGGATTTGTCACACTCACTCATAGCATTGACCGGCTCGCTGGTCAGCATCAAAATGACAACTTGTTGGGTTGGGGAAGAACAGC